TGCGGGGGGGTGAGCGAAAAATGGTGCCACTTTTGCGGCCGTACAAATGTCGTTTGACCGAGATAACTCACCGCCGGACACTTCATTTGGAGACGCTGAGCGGTCAATAGCGACGATGCCATCTTCTTTATTTGTAGCCGGCGCTTTCGGTTGCCGCAGCGTCGAATAAATAATCCTGAAATGCCACCTGGGTAAAAAAATATCGGCTGATTCTAGTTGTTTTTTTGTTATGGGTTTTTTTTTTTTCGTGCTGGAGCCCATCGCAGCTGTCTTTGGGCAGTAGGCGGAGGACACCCTGAACCGGTTGCCAGCCAATCACAGGGCACTCAGACTCACACCTCGGGACAATTTGGAGTGTTCAATCAGCCTGCCATGCATGTTTTTTGGAATGTGGGAGGAAGCCGGAGGACCCGGGGACAACCCGCGCAGCCACGGGGAGAGCATGCAAACTCCACACAGGGAGGCTGGAGCTGGAATTGAACCCGGTACCTCTGCACTGTGAAGTCAACGTGCTAACCTCTCGACTACCGGGCCGACAATTGTAATATAGATTCATGTCATGCTTGTGTTTATAAAAAAATAAATAAATACATGGGAGGAGGACCTTGAAAAAAAAAACAACATATTAAAATCGCAATTGTAATATTATGGCAAAAAAACGTTTTCAAAATCATTCCGCCTGACTCATATCTCTGATGCAGATGTACCAACCACTCGTCCACTGTGCTGCTGACTTGTGAGAATGAAACCAAAAGGCCAATAGTAGCCTTTCTCTGCACTAATAGTCAAATGAATTGATGAGCAATCCATCACTAGGAAATGGTCCCCCCCCCACCCCCCAAAAAAAGACTCAAAGAAATGGCTATGAATCCACTTTGCGAATCTATAAGGAGTAAAAGTCTAATTTGTCACTTGCGACAGTCCACCTGATCGTTGCCGTATTTCAGCCATATTGGAAGGACTCGCTCCAGCTTGCGTGCGTGTCTGCGCGCGCGCGTTTGTTTGTCAAGTGGTGCTTGAAAAGTGTAATAAGGCAGTCAGAAAAAAAAAACAGTTCCTGGGTGACAGCGGCTTTATCGCGCACTGCCTCATAAAGTCCCATCATATCTATTCACCGCCGCGATTATCAAATGGCTGTTGAACACTCTTATGTCTTCGTATTCGGCAGGCAGTCAGTCAGCGTCGCCGCGCCGAGGAAATACGGGAAGACGCTGCTCGTCCTCCACGAGGGGAAAAAAAATAAGCCCGTCGCGTGCCGCTTTACTCAAGTGGAACATTTCTCTCTTGGCCGCCTTTAAGGACCAGACAGCTGCGGTCAAACTCGGGTCAATAAAATGTCCGTCTGTCCTTTGAGTCTCCAGATCCATCAAGTGATAAAAGTTTGTCTTTTCGGGGGGGAAGGCGCCCTCATCTTGCGAGACACTCAGGAAATTAATCAAGGAAATTGGGTTTTTTTTTTTTGCTGCGCCTATATACCATC